AACAATTCCTGCCGGACCTGAGACTCGAACCCACAACCTTCGGGTTACAAGTCCGACTATCTAACCATTAGGCAACGACTAACCCCGTTTAAATGAATTGCAGAGAAGTTTTGATCAATTTTAAATTAATTCAGTTCAATAATTGTTTGCAGTTCACAAGGTGTCAAACTATAATTCATAAATTATATTTATGAATTGATAAAATAAAAAAGTTTAATATATATATTATACTATATATATAGTAAAAAGCTATTTTATGTTATCAATATATACAATTAATATATTCATATTTATAATATATATAAAAAAAATTATATATATTATAAAATAATATATAAAAAATATATTTAAAATGGTGTGTTTTTTCTCTCTGTTGCTGGTCTGGGTGTTTGCTGGTCTCTGCTGGTCTCTGGCGGTCTCTGCTGGTCTCTGCTGGTCTCTGGTGGTCTGTGCAGGTTCTGGCTGGCGGTGCAGGAGCTGAAGAAACGTCCGATCCGGGAGGTTCCCAGCAGGGTGCAGGAGATCTGGGACGAGTTTCTGGCTCCTGGGGCTCCGAGTGCCATCAACGTCGACTCCAGGAGCTACGATAAAACCACGCAGAACATCAAGGATCCCGGCCGATACGCTTTCCAAGATGCTCAGGTCTGTGTCTTCCTGTTTTTACCTGACTGCACTTAAACCACATCATGCTGGTTTCGTCCGGAGGAGAACTGGCCCCCGACTGAGCCTGGTTTCTCCCAAGGTTTTTTCTCTGATGGAGTTTGGGTTCCTTTGGCTTGCTTAGTTGAGGATGCTTGACTGATTGAACAGACACTGTTGGAAGCGGCTGTAATTTTACTTGGTTACTGTACTTAAGTATTATTTTGGGGTATTTGTACTTTATTCAAGTACAATGTAACCCTTGTATTATGTTCGATTTCTGGGATTTCTGATGGAGCGGGTCAAATTGACATTCAATGCAATTCCCAAAATATCACATTATTAAAAACAAGAAGGAATCAGGTATGAACTGAACAATTTTAATATCAGTATTCTTCTCACAGTACAAACAATTGATATCAAAAAGTAAGATTTTTTTTTTAATGTGTTTAACATTTTTTAACCCCTTAACTGTCACCGTCCCGCTGGCAGAAGTTTACTTCTATATTACTATATTACAGTTAAAGGGGTGGTTCACTGGCTTTTTTCTAGGCTTGATTGTGTTTATGGGGTGCAGTCTAACGTGCTAATGCTTCGTTTTTTAAAAAACTCATTATTTTTCACATAATTTACCTTTATTCCGCACCGCTCTGTCCCTTCTCTGAGAAACACGCTGATCTTTTCCTGTTTTTATGAAGCCCCGCCCTCAGAAATAGGCGATGGGCTCTGATTGGTTAGCTAGCCCAGTGTGTTGTGATTGGCTAAAC